GGGTGGGGGTGTAAATTGTGAAAGAGACTGAGATCAGATAGAAACGGACAGAGAAAGAGATTTTGGCGTGGTATTATTTATATTTGGAAGAAGAGTAAAGACTATCAAGATTAAATTAATTGAATAATAAATAAATTATTAAGAGACTGTTTAAGGTGTATTTCGGTGTATTCTGATGCTAATGTAGATTAAGAGAGTGATCCAGGAAAACACCTCTCCACCCTATCATCTGTCTTTAGTAGTGTTCAGACTGAAAATAGAGCTGCGATCAAAAATCGCAAGGGGCGGTGTGAATATGTTGCTACAGCTACAGAGAATATCAAATATTATCCAGCGGGGTTCAGTTTACGAGTACTAGATCTACGAGCATCCATCACACATGCTTTTATAAAGCTAGAAAGTTGTCACAGCCACAGTCAATTTATTCTCCATTTCAAAATGCACGAGGGAAACACTGGAATTACCCCATTAGCGCTACAAAGAAATATAGCATCAGTGTGTGTTTGAATGCATTTGATTGGCCGTCGTCACCGAGCAGGATCCTGGAGGTGTCCGGAAGAAAAGACCATTGAAGAGATTAATGAGTTCATGAAAAGGACAGATGTGGACGTGTTTTGATTGAATAAAGAAAAGACAGTTTTGACAACGTGATTCATGTAAAGTTTGAAGGAAAGAACAGAATGAAAATGACTGGAGCTGTCAACACGGAGGGAGCATGTGCTAGTTGAGGGATTTAGGACCAATGATGATGACTTCAGATCCATGACAGTTGAATATGTTCAATGTTTTCTTCGAGGTCATTACATCCCTGACTGAGACAGTTAGGGATGACATAGCGAGTGGAGTAAGTTATATGATTAGTTAGTTAGATTCTTTCTGTCTTGGAGGCAGGGCTGAAAAGTAAAGCATTCGTTCTAACCAAAGGCAATATGATAAAACAACTTGTCACCTCGAGCATCTCGACAGAAAAATAACGAGACAAAGTGTACGGCAATAGCCCGTTTGTCTTGACATGTGTTCACGCGTCTATTTTACATTAAGTTACCGTAACGCACGAGCATTAAGAGCAATTCTCAACAGCAAGTCTCGGTTGTCACTCCGAGTGCCAACAGCCAACATCTCACCCAACAACCAAAAAAAACAAACAAAGTGGTTTGCTGTCAAGTTTAAACTTTACCACACTGATTGGGGGGGGGGGGGGGGGGGGG